CGCCCGCCCCCTGCTCACGGAGGCTCTGCCGAGGGCGACTGCGAGGCAGGGGGCCGCTCCGTGCCCCCTGAGCCGGGCCCTGGCACAGAGGGGCGGGGGCCGCTACCGCCTGACCCAGCCGGAGCCCAGAGCCCGCACTGGCCCCACGGCTCGGCCGGGCGGAGCGGGGTGGGGGACCCGCAGCTCCCGCCCCCACGGCTGAGCAGAGGCGAGCGGCCGGTGAGACTGGCCCCAATCCTGCTCAGCTGGGACTGACCCTGCGGTAGGGCCCCAGCTCCCCCGCACGGCACCGCGCCCAGGCTGCAGCAGCACGTGGGTCACGGCAGGGGGCTGCACCCCTCCAGCAGTCCTGGCCCTGGCCTGCTCTGTCCCGGTGGGGATGGGGGACGCACAGGCCCCGCACAGAACTCACGGAGCCTGGGCCCCACCCTCAGCGAGACCCCGGGGCTGAGAGCGGGCAGCCGCTGCCTGCAGGCGCTGGCAGAACGGGCAGGGAGCAAGGGCAGCGCTGCGGGGGCACGTGGACCCCTGCCTGCCTTGGGCACTCTTGGGAGGGCAGGGCTGGGGCCAGGGCCTGTCCAGTGAAGCCGTGCCAGTGCCGCCGGCCTCCTGCTCGCACACGCCAGGGACGGCTAATTTTAGCAGCTCGTCTCCCTGGCTCTGGCGCGGGGCCAATGGTGCAGTGCTGGTGTCAGCCAGCTGCTCCGGACACCTCGGCCTGCCCAGCCCCGCAGGGTCCGGGCCAGGAGCTGCCAGCCGGCGGGAGCAGGGGGACGGGCCAGCACCAGTGTCAGGCACAGGCCCAGGCACAGGCACAGGCCCTGCCTCGCCACAGGGCCGGGCTGGGCAGCGCCAGGGACCTCCAAGGTCCTGGCCGAGTCCCGAGCGGGCCCAGGAGGTTGCTTCTGCTTCTGCCATCTGCTCCGAGTGCGCGGGCCTGGGCCAAGAGCTTGGTCCTGAGCGACGGAGCCCCCCAGGGCCTGGGCCTCGCTGCGCCAGCCTGGGCACAAGCCCCCAGTAGCCAGGAACCTGCCCTGCTGGGATGCCACTGCCCGGGCAGCCCCGGGGCGAGGATGCAATTGTCTGGGGGCGTGATGGGGCGAGGGGCCATGGTGGAGCCCCGTGGCAGCCCTGGCCTCTGCCTGGTTCAAGGGGGCGGCAACTCCAAGCTCCTACAGGGCGGGGGCCAGGGCATCTCTGCCGCGGATGTGCCAGGTCACTGCCGCCCCGAGACCCGCCGCCTGTCCCAGTCCACAGGGCAGCTCCCCGCAGCTGCCACAGGCCGCGGCCCCAAGCACACATGTTTCCAATGTGGCGGGAGCTGGGGGCGAGCGCAGGACGGCGCCGAATTCCTTTCCTATCGAGTAATGGGCCCGGCAGCCTCCGCGGGGCCCTGGCGGGGGAGGGCCGCGCTGACCCGCCACTGCCCGGGAAGCCCCAGACTAAACATCCCCTCCGCTCCCAGCCTGGCGGCCCTGGCCCAGGAGCCCTGCAGCTGCTGCAGCAGAGGCAGCCCCCCCGCTGCCCCATGCCCATACCCCCCCGGGTCTCCCACCCAGGGGCTGCAGCAGTGCAGGCTGGGCCCCCCCGCAGACCGGCTCATGCCTGATCTCACTCGGCTGCGAGCGCGGCATCGACCCCCGCCCCTGCCCTGAAGCTGCCTGTGGGCTCTCGGCCGCCAAGGGGGCAACTTGGGGGGGGGGGCAGTGCCTGGGGGACCAGAGCCCAGCACGAGCGAGCGATGCTCGTCTCCCCCACTTCCTGCTCCTCCTCCCCAGAGCGGGCCCTGCAGCAGAAGCCCCCAGCGGCTCCCGGAGAGGCCTGCCACGGCCAGCGAGACGCGGGCTTTGCGGCCTCTGCCCCAGACAGGCTGCGGCCCTGCGCTGACCCTGCGACCTTGGGCCCGGGCAGGACAGGGGGGCACGGGAGGGGCCGGTGGCACCGCTGCAGTGCGCACGCCCCAGTGCTGCGGCAGCTGCTGCGCGGCTGGCTGGGGTCTGGCGGCATAAGGAGCCCATTGTTCAGCCTGGCCGGCCTGGCCCGCGCTGCGCACGCAGCCTTCCCCGGGGACCTGCCGTGGGCAGGCAGGCTCGGCCGCTCCCCCGGCCCCCGGGCATCCCGTAGCCAGCTCTTCCGGCTGGGCACGCTGGCAGAGGTGCCCGTGCCTGGGCTCTGGGGGCAGCTGGCACGGCAGGAGCCCGGCGACAGCTCCCCGGGGACGCGGGGCCTAGCCAGGCCGTGCACGCGGGGCGATGCCAGCGCATCCCTGGCCCGTGCAGCGACGTGGGCTCCTGGGGAGCGGGCGACGCGAGGCAGGGCCAGGGGATGCTGCGTGGTGCCGCCAG